GTGCTCAAATTAGTAGCAGATCTGCTATAATATTAATGACATTACGTAATAAGGATGTTTAAAATGAGCTCATCAACGAAGTGGTTTACTCGTAGGTATATTACAGATTGAAGCTTAGATGCAGATTCATTTTCAAGCAGAGGCTTTTGATTGTTAGTAAAACAAATGATAGTCTATGACTGAGATTGAATTAAGTTTTTATCTTTGTTTTGTAATAATGAGGTAAAGTTTATCTACACAGCTATCTATCATCAACAGAAAACTTAGGACAGTTAAATGTCATACATGGTAAACCTGGCATGACATATTCTAATATTAATAAAAAAAATTGACATTCAAAAACCTATATTGCAATAATTTGTTAACCCTGATCCATTGGTCATTGTAACATTCGCAACTGGCACGCCCGTGAGCGTATGCGCCTCATGCAGTGTTGCACGATATCTTATTCACTACGATTATACTTGACAGTGCGATAACGCGTTGAATGGCAATAAAAACATTGACTAAAGGTTAACTGAAGCTTAATGGTCGTAGATTAAAATACCAACGTTGTCGTTATGAGGTTTAGTTTTTTAGTAGAGCTAGAGTTAAAATTAAGAAAAAAGCTATCACTGAAAAATGAGGCTCATGACAGTAAGACTTCATGATAAACTTTAAAGTTCATTTTTCTTAGGTATCCTAAATTTTTGATCTAATTTCGTGAAAAATACTCGTTTAGAATAGTAAAACTACTGAAATATTTTAATTTTTCATGATGTACCACTTGGATCCGTATGATATTTATTTATTTTGTTTATTTATTTTGTTATATGCAACGGTTGACTGTTTAGCAGGCACATCACATTTATACACGCACAGGTCCCAACGACTCATTTTCATTCCACATTATAGAGAGAGAGAGACGTTTGTTTTGTTAATTTTACTTATTCTGCGGTAAATAAACGACACCTAAACAGAATTATAACGTCATTATTACTATTACATAAAAATGAAGTTTCGCCAATGAGACTATTATAATAATAAGTTAGGAACATCCGAGACTTATTTTGCATATTATAAGGCAGCATGAAGTCATTACTAAATATTATTATAATGAGTGTTTACATTTAACATCCACTACATTTGTGGAGCCTGTCAAGCCGGTTTCGCGAAGATGCCTCCCCGGTTTTATACAATATGACTTCTTGTATTATTTTGTGTCTAGGGTAATTCGATATACATGAAATATTGATAATTGCACAGGTTTTGCATGCCAAAAAGGCGAGTAGGTATCGTACTAAAGTGATTTGATTTGACTTTGTGAGCGTCGTAAGTTTCAAGTTTTATAATGACTGCAATAAAACTTATCCAAATTAACTTACATTTCAATTATGGTTATATTTATACCGAATCTCGTATTCTGAGACGATGATTGGTACCAGTAACAGATTTTAAATTATTCTTGAATTTTAATCAACTTTTGAGCGTGTTTTAATTAAGTAAAATAATAGAGTTATTCCTAAAGCTCATTTTCATTACGTAATAGCTATTTCATTTATCCATCACCCACTTCCCATATTAGTATTTAGTATATTCATGTTATACGACATTATTTTGAGTACAACAACATTGAGTTCAATTAGAAACAGTGTGTCAATTGAACAAGCCTAGTTTTGTTGGTTACATAATACAAGTTTTCACTGTCAATGCCGGAGTTGTAAATGTGGCATGTTTGAGTCCTTAGAAGCTTAGGTAAATTGTTATGTAAATGACCTTCCAACGTACTTGTCCGTCCTTTTTGGTCTTTATTGCTTATTCTTTGATTTTGTTTTGCACTTAGCACCTCAACCGGTGGCATTTGGAGACCTTTACACTATCTACTACCTGTATGATGATTGTTTTTGTCACTTTTTGACTTCTTGGGGTTTTTACGTTAAAATTAGGTATTCTCAACCAATATGAGAGCTTGAGTTCTCTTGTAACACAACTCTATAAGTTAGCTATACTTTGTACGTGTGCGCGTTACGATAGTGTCTTGTGTACCTTCTGGTTTTCCTCAGTACTTAAATCATAATCTGGTTGTATGCAACTGTTACGAAAAACCTCACCATGCGTTCGCTAACTGTTGTATAATAGCTCTCAGTATGAACTATCATTAGGTGTAAGACCGTTACTATTCCGCATTGGCTAATTACGAGTCGACAGTTGTGGGGAAATGAAGATTGTTCCAAGACAGTGGATATGACTAAAAATTTTGAGTCTAGTAAAGTAAGGATGTAACCAAGAAAGAGGTCCAAAATATTGTATCAATTCCTTTCATATCGCTAATAGAGTTTGTATGTTATTTAGTTTCCACTGTAGGAGAACAACCCTCGCAGGCAATGGAGCAGTGCAGTGGAGGATTTGGCCTCCATTCCTTACGCTTGCCATTTGAATTTGGTTGGATACTGTTGCTAGTATTTTGTACCTTGGTCGCCTTTTACGACATAAACATGAAGAGTAGGAGTGGTCTGCTCTGCCGGAATCACACGACTAAGTTTTATATTTACTTGTAATGATTACAGATGAAAGGCAATTACCACCTAAGTCACTGTTTATTATAAAACTAAACGTTTATGCAATATCTTGACAGTTACATAAAATCGTTTATGCTTCTGGCAATACGTTGGTTTGGCTACTCAGACGGGGTTGCACATTTACGTTTACTACGACAAGCATTTATTCGTAGCGATTGCATCCTGATATGACCAAATCAATTTGCAGGTAGATATATCAAAAATGGCTAGGACGAGTTAACTATCAATTAAGGGCCCATGTTTGGAAATAAATCAGTTACCAATAATACGCTTCTGGGCACTGATTTCTGGTTCTAGCTCCTCTTGCAAAGTGAATCTGAATCGAGCTATTAACGCCTCTCACTGCATTGTGCAAGTAGGACTGGTGCAAGCCCGATATTCGCCCGTTACGTGCACGGTTGCATCAATTGTGCTTGCTCTCTGAATTAATAAGAGTCAAAGGTCGAGTTGTTACTGGACATTCCTGGAAAACCATTGGAGCTCTCAATCAAACGATTATCGCTTTACAAAACGGAACAATGTCAAAAGTCACAAAAACTCAAAATGATCATCTGGCCCCTTCAGTCGACTGCTAGTCAAATACATAATCCATTTTTAGTTTTTTTTTTTAAGTTCTTAGATACGTTTAACTAACTATGTTTTATTTCCTTTAAGGAACTAACTAACCAAATCATTAACAACTGACAAGATTGGCATAAAACTTATAAGTTAGTATTAATAAGAGCTACACCAATCTTTGTGCTCTTTGTCCTAGACTATTATGCTATTTATTGGTAATTTATGTCATAAATTATTACATTCGAATGTTCTCCCAGAGCTGGAATGATCCGGAGGTCAGCAGGGCAGAGTGAAAGTGGTTATAGCCAGCGAACTTTCGCATCTTTACTGCCGGGACCTATTATGCGCTAGGCTTTGCCTTTACAGAAAATCGTGCCTCAAATTAAATGGGTAGGTTCAAGCTCGATCAAGAATCGTTTGAAATTGTTAGATTCAATAATGATCGCCTGATTCAATCTGAAATTATAATGATAGTTACGTCGCTGTATTATTTAGGTAAACTAATAATAATGATTAAAGAGGCTATCGTTTTCAACATTATGAAACTGAAATTAGGCAGTTAATAAGCTATTTATTCATTAATGAACGAACTGTTCGTTTATTAATGTTATTATTAAACAGTTTTGAGTAAAATCTTATTTATTACACAACAGAATTAATACTGCATGTTACTTACAAGACATGTATGAAGTGTTCCATTATAATGAGCAATAATTTTCAAGTAACAGTAGACCTGAATACCTTTGACAAATACATTTCGAATTCGTACGAACACCACACGTGTGACTATAAATAATAATAACTGCTCACAGGGCGCGCCGGTTCAAACCGCTCAAAGGTTCCACACTAATTATTGTGGGAGCCAGCTTACCTCTATCAAGATCTAGCATTATTTATGACCGCGTTACACACACTCGACTTATTACAGTCATGTGTTCCGATCTCAATTTGTTAAAATCACATTATCAACATTAACGAGTTATATCCAAGGTCAATCATGAGGTTTATAGGTAATTTAACATGTTTTTGTACCAAATATCATTTACATTCTTGTTAAAATAATTATTTTCAAAGGAAGCAGACGTCAAAGATAATGTTAAACCTCAATTTATTTGACTAGATTATTGAAGTCACGTAANATTAGTGTCATTCTCACACTATCATCATCGGTTGCCTAACATCATGATGCGTGCGTTTGATACTATTCTGTAGCTCAACTTTCGGCTGGCGCGGCAACCACATAAAAAGCCTAAGTAAAGCCGGACAGGCTGGACAAGCCAATATTTGGCCGGATAAGACCGTAAAAAGCCAAACATGTCCGGCTAAAGCCGGACACCTGGCAACCCTAACCGCGTTACACACGCTCGACTTATTACAGTCATGTGTTCCGATCTCAATTTGTTAAAATCACATTATCAACATTAACGAGTTATTTCCAAGGTCAGTCATGAGATTTATAGGTAATTTAACATGTTTTTGTACCAAATATCATTTACATTCTTGATAATAATTATTTTCAAAGCAAGTAGACGTCAAAGTTAATGTTAAACCTCAATTTATTTGGTTATATTATTAAAGTCACGTTACGCCTACAAAAGACATCAACGCGTTAAGTGACTTCTTATCACTTGATATTTAAGAAGCAATTACTCGTACTTTTGATATCGTACCCTTACCGTTTATTCCATTAATCATTTACCATACATTGCCTATTTTGGGTACAGAACATTCACAAATCTTTTTGCGTTATTAATAAATCAAGATAATTAGTTTTTACACAATTCTATGATTATGAATGTATTACTTGCACTTAAATATAGTTTTCTATACTTATTAATATTTAATCTTTCTTGTATACTAATATGAAACTTCACGTGATTTCAGGAAAACCTGGAACTGACTACCCAGTGCTGGGCGCGGTGCCCTACACAAACTTCTATTGCGACGAGCAGCCGTACCCTGGTTTCTTCGCCGATATGGAAACCAGATGCCAAGGTATAATTTCTACAGTTTTAACAAGCAAATAAATAGTTTTAGAACTATTTCTAATATATGATATTGAAGTTTATATTGGCTTCATAATGATTCAGTCGTATTTGGGACCAATTTTTATTTCGTCTCCGAAAAAAAATCATTCATTTAAGTTACGTGAATTATCAAAAATGTTACTATGTTTGACTATAAAAATACGTAATTGAGACTATTTCAAGACATTTAGAAAATATTTGATTTAAAAAAAAAGTTAAACCTTTTGAGTTCAGAGAGTATAAATTCTGATTATTCTAATATTTCGATTTCCTCTAATATCAAAATCAAATAGTCCGGTAACCCAGTGGACTATATACCAGATTTAAGAACTCGTCGTCCTTGGTTCAATATCAGGACCATGCGAGATGTTACTGTATCCATTAGCATTTTCTACAGATCGAGTCGGTGGATCACAGAGCCATATTTGGCAGGCAAGCATAATTTATGAAAACAGATTAATCTCTCAAAAATCGAATCCACACTAATATTTATAAATGCGAAAGTAATTCTGTTTGTCTGTCTGTGTTGCTTTCACGCCTAAAACACTGAAACGATTTTGATGAAATTTGGCATAGAGATAGTTCGAGTCCCGGAAAAGGGCAAAGGATAGTTTTTTGACACGTGCGAAAAAGTGTGACAGACAAAATTTCACGCGGGCGAAGCCGCGGGCAGAAAGCTAGTGTTGCTATAAAAGTATTGTTATCATAGGAACTTGTTATTGAATTTGGTATTAGTATTAAAAGCTTTCAAGGCAAAAGCGCCTTTTGATTTTTATCCGCCGAACGTAGGCAAACGCAATTTAAAGGAACTTTGGTGCCATAATGTATCATTAAAAATTAAATTAACAACATGAAATTGTAGGCGTATACAATGTAATGGTTGTATTGTTTGAAGTGTAAACGTTTAGTTGGCGATTAATTGAAAATAATCTTTAACATAACGCTGTAGGGTTTAGAGTTAATTGTTACAGATTGAATAGTCAGATGTTTTATTCAATTGTTTGTCGCATGTTTTATAAAGGTAGCTATTTATTATACTGACGCACATCTCTGTCCGAAAAGTGATATTATACAGCTGTCACTATCGCGACCTTGGCCGTGCCAAGATGATTAAGTATACCGACCTTATGGCAGTCTGAGGTCAACTAATTATAGCAAAAAGCTACCCGGAAGATGCTCTCGACATGAAATGTTAGGTCAAGTTCGTGAGATCCGCTATTCTGCCTTACTTTTAATGATTCAATTTGGTTGTCTTCGTCGATAGGCCTTAATGTTCTCCCGGCGTTTAAGAGCTCAATTTGAAGTGTCTAATTGATATTTTAGCATTAATTTGCAATAAAAGGTAGCTCAATTTCAACTTCGTCAATAACAAGATTACAAAAATAACCTTGGTTGGTGTACAATGTTCTATCAATCAAATGGTCATGTCAAATTTAAGCACCATTTAAGATTTGAAATTGAATTTCTAATATCTTTACGTTCTATACCAGTTATACCATTAATGTATACATGTTTTGTGATATTAAATTATTATTAACCTTTGAAAACCAGTCACAAAGTTGGTACACTTAGATCTCCCTTCACGTGTCTTATCAATCCTGCCAGCAGTATGTCTTGAGTAACCATACCTAATGTAATTCTAAAGTTAGGAGTTTAAATTTTTTTTTATTAAATTAAATTAAGTAAATAAGCTTTACACGTCAGGAAATTATAATTTCTAGGTTAGTTTGATGCTTAAAGCATAACCATGTTATCCCAAAGTAAAGTTACGTAGTAGGATGCATCGTGTTGCAACTGAAGCCTTGAATGGGCATGGCTGCGTGCTGCGACATTAGAGTTCTTAGAAATGTGTTAAGTGTCACGCAGAAATACGTGCGTATTGAACTTTTAGTTGTATATTTACATAAAAGGCCTTCGAATCTCCAATGAATAGGCCTCTTTCTTACATCAGGCCATATTGTGGTCAAGAGCAAGCGTATACTTTGGTAAATGGTATCATCTTCTTACGTTTATCTTTATGATGTTTTCTTAGACCAATATTAAAAAGTTTGGCTCTTGATCAATAATTATTTTTATGTTTGAACCTTTAATGAGTCAAACCTACTTCTAGTCCTAATTAGAAAATTGCTTTGAAAACGAAGTACCTACTCGATGAAATTTTCTTTGTGATTCCTATTATTCAATGCATATTAATTTGTTGAGCTTTGTTTTTATAGTAAAAGAAAGTAGAAGACTGATTCACTGATTTTTAAAATTAGTCAAATTTTCAAATTAATAATTTCTTTTTATGACCTTGCACAAGGAATTTAGGGATCACTTTTTTATGTAATGTAGATACGATAGTGTCTAGTTAATGAGGGCTATCGTTTTAGCGCTCACCAGTTAGCGCCACTGTAGGTAGAGTAAGGTCCTGTCACTTGCTAGTAGCGAAGACAGTGGCACCAACTGGTGAGCGCTAAAGTGGTAGGAGGACTATCGCATTTGCACTCCTCAAGATGGCGCCACTGTAGAGTAAGGTCCTGTCAATCGCCAGGGGTGCCAATTGTTAAGTATAAAAACGATAGCCCTCATTGTCCCTTACGACATTTATCTCTAAGCTCTACATAATTATTACTTCTTTTTCCAGCCTGGCACTACTGCGACATCGACGGCCGGCAAGCTTCCTTCCTCTGCCCCAACGGGACAGTATTCTCCCAAGGGGTGGCGTCCTGCGACTGGTGGTTCAACGTCCGCTGCGCCTTATCACCAGCCCTCTACCCTCTTAACGCGCGACTCTATAGAAGGAGGAGAAAGAACTCCCGCCCGAAGCCTCACCGGGTCATAGATAAGGAGCTGGTCGATGAAATATTCTTGTAGATAGTAGATGTAGTTGAATGTAGTGATTTGTGATTGATACTGAACGGTCTATCAAAAATCTAAAGCCCGGTCTGTGAGCACGTAGATTTTGTCCAATACCCCCGAGCTACCCATCCTTATCGCTCGCGCGTAATTATATTGCTGTCGCGACTGTGCGACGGGCGCCCGCAGTGTGTGTGCGAGTGCGACAGCAACATAATTACGCGCGAGCGATAATGATGGGTAGCTTGGGGTCATTGGACAAAATTCTACGTGCTCACGGACCAGGCTTTAGTAACTTTTATGTATAATCAAGATTCCAGTAGCTAGTCTCATTTATTCCGAAAGCTAAAAAGAACAATATGAAAATGAAAAGGCTGAATACAATTGAAAACTTAATTTTTCTGTACCGCAATTACCAAGCTAGTCTCATTTATTCCGAAATAATTTTGACTATATGTATGGGCCGTCAAAAACTTACATACCGCGATTCAACCTACACACAGCGCCATCTATTGGTAACTCAAAACACTACATATATGACGCTTAACATTAAACATAACCCTCGCAAGGGGTGGCGTCGTGCGACTGGTGGTTCAACGTCCGCTGCGCCTTATCACCCGCCCTCTATCCTCTCAACGCGCGTCTCTATAGAAGGAGGAGAAAGAACTCCCGCCCGAAGCCTCACCGGGTCATAGATAAGGAGCTGGTCGATGAAATTTTCTTGTAGATAGTAGACGTAGTTGTATGTAGTGATTTGTGATTGATACTGAACGGTCTATCAAAAATCTAAAGCCCGGTCTGTGAGCACGTAGAATTTTGTCCAATACCCCCAAGCTACCCATCCTTATCGCTCGCGCGTAATTATATTGCTGTCGCGACTGTGCGACGGGCGCCCGCAGTGAGTGTGCGAGTGCGACAGCAACATAATTACGCGCGAGCGATAAGGATGGGTAGCTTGGGGTCATTGGACAAAATTCTACGTGCTCACGGACCAGGCTTTAGTAACTTTTATGTATAATCAAGATTCCAGTAGCTAGTCTCATTTATTCCGAAATAATTTTGACTATATGTATCGGCCGTCAAAAACTTACTACCGCGATTCAACCTACACACAGCGCCATCTATCGGTAACTCAAAACACTACATATATGAAGCTTAAACACAGACCTCCCAAGGGGTGGCTTCCTGCGACTGGTGGTTCAACGTCCGCTGCGCCTTGTCACCCGCTTTATATCCTCTCAACGCGCGTCTCTATAGAAGGAGGAGAAAGAACTCCCGCCCGAAGCCTCACCGGGTCATAGATAAGGAGCTGGTCGATGAAATTTTCTTGTAGATAGTAGACGTAGTTTGTTGTAGTGATTTGTGATTGATACTGAACGGTCTATCAAAAATCTAGTTAGACTCTCCCGCACTCAATCTGTACAAGTTCCAAAAAGCCCACAGAAAGTAACTTGAATAGAACCAAGATTCCAGTGGCAAGTCTCATTTATTCCGATATAATTTTGACTAAATGTATGGGCCGTCAAAAACTTACATACCGCGATTCAACCTACACACAGCGCCATCTATCGGTAACTCAAAACACTACATATTATTATATGACGCTTAACATTAAACACAACCCTCTCAACGCGCGTCTCTATAGAAGGAGGAGAAAGAACTCCCGCCCGAAGCCTCACCGGGTCATAGATAAGGAGCTTGTCGATGAAATATTCTTGTAGATAGTAGGTAATTTAGCGTTAGCGCACACTAGGCGACTCGCGACAGCGACAGCTCGGCGACTTAGACGCGACGACAGGCCAGCTGCAGCCGACAAGTTCATATATTTTGTTTGAAGCTTCGCACACTTGGCGTCAAAGTTGCAGAGTCGCGATGACAAGTCTAGTCGAAGAGCAGTCGCTGTCGCGTGCCACTTAGTGTACTCTTATTTCGCGAGGCGTAAGATGAGCTTTGCATTTGAGTGAGAGATCATCAAAAGTAGTCAGACAAAAAATTAAAAAACATTCGCATTTAATGTTTGTTTGGAAAAATTTAACACAAAAACTAAATACTAAGGCTGAGTAGCGCCCTCCTGACAATATCATAGCTGGTGGTTCAACGTCCGCTGCGCCTTATCACCAGCCCTCTACCCTCTTAACGCGCGTCTCTACAGAAGGAGGAGAAAGAACTCCCGCCCGAAGCCTCACCGGGTCATAGATAAGGAGCTTGTCGATGAAATTTTCTTGTAGTTAGTAGACGTAGTTGTATGTAGTGATTTGTGATTGATACTGAACGGTCTATCAAAAAACTAGTTAGTCTCTCCCGCACTCAATCTGTACAAGTTCCAAAAAGCCCACAGGACGTAACTTGAATAGAACCAAGATTCCAGTGGCAAGTCTCATTTATTCCGAAATAATTTTGACTATATGTATGGGCCGTTAAAAACTTACATACCGCGATTCAGTCTACAAACAGCGCCATCTATCGGTAACTCAAAACACTACATATATGAAGCTTAACATTGAACATAACCCTCGCAAGGGGTGGCGTCGTGCGACTGGTGGTTCAACGTCCGCTGCGCCTTATCACCAGCCCTCTACCCTCTTAACGCGCGTCTCTATAGAAGGAGGAGAAAGAACTCCCGCCCGAAGCCTCACCGGGTCATAGATAAGGAGCTTGTCGATGAAATTTTCTTGTAGATAGTAGACGTAGTTAGTTGTAGTGATTTGTGATTGATACTGAACGGTCTATCAAAAATCTAGTTAGACTCTCCCGCACTCAATCTGTACAAGTCAAAAAGCCCACAGAAAGTAACTTGAATAGAACCAAGATTCCAGTGGCAAGTCTCATTTATTCCGAAATAATTTTGACTACATGTATGGGCCGTCAAAAACTTACATACCGCGATTCAACCTACACACAGCGCCATCTATCGGTAACTCAAAACACTACATATTATTATATGACGCTTAACATTAAACACAACCGGAACCCTCTCAACGCGCTCTATAGAAGGAGGAGAAAGAACTCCCGCCCGAAGCCTCACCGGGTCATAGATAAGGAGCTTGTCGATGAAATATTCTTGTAGATAGTAGAAGTAGCTGTTAGTGAGTTTTTTTGATTAATACTAAACGGTCTATCAGTAATAAATTTTACTATACGTATGGGTCGTCAAAAACTTACTACCGCGATTCAACCTACACACAGCGCCATCTATCGGTAACTCAAAACACTACATATATGAAGCCTAACATTAAACACAACCCTCCCAAGGGGTGGCGTCGTGCGACTGGTGGTTCAACGTCCGCTGCGCCTTATCACCAGCCCTCTACCCTCTTAACGCGCGTCTCTATAGAAGGAGGAGAAAGAACTCCCGCCCGAAGCCTCACCGGGTCATAGATAAGGAGCTGGTCGATGAAATATTCTTGTAGATAGTAGACGTAGTTGTATGTAGTGATTTGTGATTGATACTGGACGGTCTATCAAAAATCTAAAGCCCGGTCCGTGAGCACGTAGAATTTTGTCCAATGACCCCAAGCTACCCATCCTTATCGCTCGCGCATAATTATATTGCTGTCGCGACTGTGCGACGGGCGCCCGCAGTGAATGTGCGAGCTCGATAGCAACATATTTACGCGCGAGCGATAAGGATGGAAAGCTTGGGGTCATTGGACAAAATTCTACGTGCTCGCAGACCAGACTATAGTTAGTTTCTCCCGCACTCAATCTGTACAAGTGCCAAAAAGTTCACAGAAAGTAATCAAGATTATAGTGGCAAGTCTCATTTATTCCGAAATAATTTTGACTATATGTATGGGCCGTCAAAAACTTACTACCGCGATTCAACCTACACATAGCGCCATCCATCGGTCACTCAAAATACTATTATATGAAGCTTAACATTAAACACAACCCTCCCAAGGGGTGGCGTCGTGCGACTGGTGGTTCAACGTCCGCTGCGCCTTATCACCCGCCCTCTACCCTCTTAACGCGCGTCTCTATAGAAGGAGGAGAAAGAACTCTCGCCTGAAGCCTCACCGGGTCATAGATAAGGAGCTTGTCGATGAAATAGTGTTGTAGATAGTAGACGTTAGTTGTATCTAGTGATTTGTGATTGATACTGAACGGTCTATCAAAAATCTAAGGCCCGGTCTGTGAGCACGTAGAATTTTGTCCAATACCCCCAAGCTGGGTAGCTTGGGGGTATTGGGTATTGGATATCCTTATCGCTCGCGCGTAATTATATTGCTGTCGCGACTGTGCGACGGGCGCCCGCAGTGAGCGTGCGAGTGCGACAGCAAGATAATTACGCGCGAGCGATAAGGATGGGTAGCTTGGGGTCATTGGACAAAATTCTACGTGCTCATGGACCAGGCTTTAGTAACTTTTATGTATAATCAAGATTCCAGTAGCTAGTCTCATTTATTCCGAAATAATGTTGACTATATGTATTTGCCGTCAAAAACTTACTACCGCGATTCAACCTACACACAGCGCCATCTATCGGTAACTCAAAACACTACATATATGACGCTTAACATTAAACACAACCCTCTCAAAGCACGTCTCTATAGAAGGAGGAGAAAGAACTCTCGCCCGAAGCCTCACCGGGTCATAGATAAGGAGCTTGTCGATGAAATATTCTTGTAGATAGTAGACGTAGTTAGTTGTAGTGATTTGTGATTGATACTGAACGTTTTGTAAAACTTTTTAGTAGTGTCATATTTTTCGAAAGCATTTAATTATATCAACTCTGGAACAAAAATTGCCTTGAACAAAATATTTTATGGTATTCAGTACGATCTTAATTTTGCCCTATCTTTAAAAGCATTTAATTAAACCAATATTAAAATATGAAATTGCCTTGCATGGTCTTCAAGAATCAATATTTTGCTCTAAAATCTTCATGGTATTGAATGAACATTGTACAGTATTAAATTAACTAATTAGTTTTCTTCCATAATAAAAGTAGTACAATAACACGATATTGTCAAAAGTTTACTGAAAATACTTTGAATTCACTATCACGAAAATGAAAGCTAAAAAGAACAATATGAAAACATAAAGGCTGAATACAATTGAAAACTTAATTTTTCTATAGCGCAATTACCTAACTTCTAACCAAAATTGAATTGTCTACAGCAGTAGACAATTTTGTCAGGAATTTTCAGTAGGTATTTTCTTTTATTTTCTATAACGCATAGAGTTGATTTACTGATTGATTGTATCACTTTATTGAAAGCGTTAGCTGTTAACTACCTACCTACACAATGAGAAAAAATAAGAAAAGAACTCAAAGCCCGATTAACACTGTGCTCGCTTAGTAAGGCTCTACAAAAGAGAAGAAATACCATTGTGTAACAAACGATCCCGATAGTGCCTATTAGATGAAGAATTAATCGATAATGGGAAACTGTAAATATCGAATCATTTTCCAGAAATCAAGGGTTGCTATTTGCAAACATTTTGGGCCTACCCTGTACGTTATTTATTAAAAACTAAAATAAAAAAACAATATTGAATTTTGTAGTGTCATCTTACAAACTAAGTATCACACAGCTTTTTTTGTACGTTGGAAGGAATACAAGCACTTACAGCTTTTCTATCTAGCTTTAAATACATAATGCTGTATGATACATTTTCCTGTAGCATAATGCCTACCTATCGTACCATATTTGTATAGTACATTTCTCATATTAATCACCATGAAGAGGCATTTTATTTTACAGAGCCGTCACAATAGATATTGATTAATGTAATAGTTTCTGTACAAGCAAAGAAACATATTATTACTGAATCAAAATCATTGATATGTTGGTATTTATCCATGATGATTGATCATTATGACCTTTTGTTTGGAGCCTTACTCAGCAAAAAATAAAGTTTACGCAACAAACGAAATCATCTTTTAGACATGCCTGTGTTTTTTATTTTAATGAATAAAACATAAGTAGTTGTATGATTGATTCAGCATGGCGCATACCTATATTAGTAATATCCAGGGCCTATGTTTATTTATTAACTAGGCTTATTCCCAAAAGTCTATTGTTCTTCTTTATACTAAGAAAATACTTTTATTTTTAATGTCCTTGAACTGCAAGTTGGGAATCAAAGTATGTTTAAAAAAATACCTAATAGAGTTGTGAACCTTTGGGAATAAGCCATTTATTATAAGAGTGGACAGTGCCTACACAATAAAAATACTCTACTGAAGCTGAGCTTGTATTGTTTTTCTCGCAGTGATTCTACCAGCCCAAACTTTTCTATAAATCAAGGCAATATTGAAATATTTTGGTTTTGCGAATTTAATCCAGTATTTATTCTGATTCAGTAGCAATTGTAAATATAATGTAGTTTAGCTTTGTTTCCTATTTGCCTTATTATATCGCAGCAAACCTCTTAGTAGCTCTAGTCGTTTAGGTTATTGTTTAATTCTGTACAGATGTGTTACAGTTAGCATATTATCGTATTATTTACTGCTATGCTGTATTTGTTTATACTCAATGCATAAGTAGTAGGTATATCTATTGTACGTACATGGACCCCTTTACTATTAGATTTCGATCGATATGGAAAAAGATAATAACACTGAATTATTTTCTAAAACAAATATCCAGAAACAGATGTACTTTTATGTTTGGTCTAGAATTAAATTGTGTAAAAAGCTTTTTCTAAATTTAAATTAATTTAGAATTAAGTCTGTAATTTGGTACCTACTTACTAGATGTAATTAATGCTTCGTAGCATTTATAACGTTTGATAATGTTGTTTATTCAGTAAAATTTAATCTAAACTATAATTGGGATGGGTTTATGTGCCATGAATTGCCCCAAATAGAAAAAAACAATTTGATTATAATTGGAAAACATTTATAGAACTTTTTGATTTTTCTTAACAATTTAATAAGAACATTGATGTAAGTGATGTGATCCATTTAGAGATAAAGAAAACTAGAATATACAATTTTTTATTATTAAATAGGTCATAGGTAGGTACATAAACAATTTTAATTTAGGTATAAAAATGTAATATGTACTATTTTTATGTTTCTATGATAAATAATATTTGATATTAGGAATACAAGTGACTTAAAATTTTGTAAGCATTAAGTTAATTAATGTACTTATCAATAAATATTTTGTTAAAGTGTAACAAAACTGTTTTTATTGGTAAACGAAAGAGAGAGAAGTCCTTGATATGATAGTGCATGTAAGAGTTTTAAGCTTAACTTTTAGACCAACTTGGTGAATAACTTAGTGATCCTGAATGCTGTCAAAACAACCAATCATTTAATTTGATAAATAAATTAAAAAATACTGCTTACCTCCTTCGGTTCTGTGCGGGCATGAGTGACTTCGGAAGCAGACTTCGAGCTCACAGGGACTTCGGTATTATACACCTCAGAACATATCTTGTCACTCTTCATCCACACAGTATCTGCCCTATCATGTGTTGGTTTCATTCAGCACAATAAATAGGTACCTTATTATCTGAAGTATCACAAGTACAAGTACTCAACTACAAATATTATTGTGTGCTCTCCAGTTTTCCACAATACTCCAAACTCTGGTAAGCCATTCCTTGACCTATTATTGAAAATAGATTCATTTGTATTCATACCGGTTTGAGTTACCAGAAACATTCAGCAATAATATTTTTTAAATAAATACACTTCCGCAGTTTTAGAACGGTTAACAAATAAGGTTATAATGACTAGTAAAAGTTTATTTGATCTTATATTTCACTAACTAATGTGGTACTTCCAACCCAATCGAGTTAACTGCACACCTGGGAGCCGTGACGTTACATCGACGGGGTTATGTACGGGGCGAATGCAGGGAGGTGTGCGGGCGAGTGCGAGGGAGAGTCGCATTCCAGCGAGGTGCGCAGTTAGCTGAACCTGAACGGGTTGTAACTAAGTTGGGGCTAATCTATATATATAAAAGAAAGTCGTGTTAGTTACTTCGCTTATAACTCAAGAACGGCTGAACCGATTTAGCTGAAAATTGTCAGGGAGGTAGTTTAGAGCCAGGAGAAGGACATAGGATACTTTTTATCCCGTTATTTATTGCCATTAAGGCGGAACAAAGTTCGCCGGGTCAGCTAGTATTAAATATAAGTAAGTAAGAATCAGGATTTTTTTCAGTGAATGTAGCTTTATTAAAGACTTTAGATTGAAGTATACTCAAGCTAGACATTCACGTACCGTAATAAGACCCGTATAAATAAATAAATCTTAGAAGAAGGGTTGTTTGGTACAACCGCCGCATTTTAATGGAATTCTTTCTTTACTACGATCTTTACAGGATTCTTGCTTAAGAAAACATAGCTATAAATTCTAGGAACGCCTTGACCAAGGCATGGCAAAAAGTTACTATCGCTTCTTTATTCACAGGTGATCACACATACAATACTAAGGCGGTTAACAATGCCGATTCATAGCCAAGGGTCATCGATATGAATTGCCTACTGTATAGTGTGTTAACTATGCCAGCCGTGGGAAATCTGTAAGCTATGTTGTAGGCAGATATGAAATGTAGGACATTTTACAAACGTCGTCTTTTCTGAAACGCTGGCTACTTTTGGACATGCCGAAGTCAGAGTAGCCTTTTATAAAAGTGTTTTGTAAATCATCAATGAAGCTATACGTAGGTATAACTTAAGGAACGTCTATAAAATGCTTCTTCATAATAAGTTCATTATTAGAGTAGGTACAGTATTTACTTACGATTTTATTAAGAGGCTAATCAATTCTTTTTCTTCAGGAAAAGGTGTGGTACCGCACCACGTAATAATAACTTTCATAAAAGTAAACTTGTTTTTTCGCCAATTACATAAATTAATCTGTTTAACTGACTATGTTTAAGGTATTTTTCCACATTAAAGTATATTTTCGTAACTTATTTTATTACATTTTTGTTCTTTTGTTACATTTAATGCGAATAAAAGTGTCTTAAAAATCCTCAGGCATTTACCTATAAACAAGATCGTTGACAAACAGACGACGTTTCGCCTTTTTTTAAATGACCAATCTTGCAATTTGTCTACAACAGCCACCTCGTATGCCACTTCATTCTTTTTCTTATTGTACGCAAATGGTATACGTTCGGAAACACATACGTAGGCCTTTTCCTGTCCAAAATTGGCCGCAAGGCGTTCCTTAGCCATGCAGCTGTCACTTGTTTCGCGAAGCGCGGCAAACACACGCGCGAGATACGCTGCGCTAGCGCATTTATGCGGTATACAGTGTTTACGTGATATCTTTTTTCGTTTTTACGAATCAAGGATTTCACCAGTTTGGTAAATTGAATGAAAATTGTTATTGATTACTATGGAGCTTTGGACGCTTATTTTATGCGGTAAGTACTGTTTCAGTTAAAATTAAAACATTAAAAAAGATTTTCTGAGGATTTGTTTTAAAAAATATATTAAACGACGATTCCATTGATATTTTATACTAGTTGGAGTCAAGACACAGGATCGATACCAGTTCAGAACCAATTAATTTTCTCTACCAACTTATAATCATAACTGAAAGTCACTTTACGAGTTTTAAAAATTATTACACTTAGTAAACAAAACAAAACAAAACAAGGTAATGCGTAACTTTTAAGCTTAAAATTAAGAACGAATCTAATTTTATTATTCTTTGTTTACCACAAAGATACCGCTTACTTTTAATTGCATGACCTTCTAAAGGTAAATGCGCTAAAGGTTACTGAAAACGAGATCGTTTCCAATGTCAATGTCTTAAAAACATCGCACTGGCGGTAATCCGAGTAGCTATACCTGTGGCCTACTGAGTTGGTAAATAGCCTCTAATTGTAGAGCCGGTGCGTACACATAAATACAGGCAAATGTCATACAGCAATCACAAAGTAAACCTTGTAGATAAGTGCTGGCTTATAACTTGATAGCAAAAAATGCTGCATTTAGCACGCTAAAGCTGAGTAAGTAGGTACCTATATTACGCTTTTATAAGCTTACACGTTTTGAATATACTGGTAGTGGAATTTAAAAATATAAGAAAAGATCCATCGAGAATTTAATATTCGATTTCTTAATCAAAACAGCACTATTATTATTGATTCGAAATCGAAAATTGATAATGAACATAACTACATAAAATGTGTGAAAACATATCCTATTGTTGCAAAACTACGTTTAATTGTAACATTGACTGAGACAGTTCAAATCAAGGCCATTGATTTTGTTTCTTTTGCAAGATTTTTAGGTAGGTAAATACTTAAACTAAGAATGTTTCGTCTAACATAATTTAAAACGTGTAAATATAGTCACGTGTAAACATAATAAAGCCAATTAAAACATTGTAAATATAGTATTAATTAAAGAAATAATTGTAATCTATTTGTAATTTTCAGGAGGTTGCACAAGCCAAATTCCTTTCATGCTTAGCACACTCTAGGTTTCTAAATAAATATGCAGACTTACCTTGAGAATAAGGGAAGTGTAATTAGTAGTAAGTAGCAGCGACTAATTTACTTTCTTTTGCAATCAATTAAAATGCCTTAGAATAAATATGCCACAATTTTAATTTTGTATCTTTGTAATTGTCTAGACTCCATTGAAAAAACGAATTTCAAATGAGGACAATGTCATATTTTTTATTAGTATTTAATTTTTTATGAACCAAAACCCACATTAAATCTGTGATAATCTTGTTTTTCGCGGTTTCGTCAGTGCAAAACAATGCCTCATAAATCGTATGTTATTTAAAACCCACGAAACCACGACCTTAAATGTTTCTATTAAGGTCTATAAGAGTAGAATATAGGTCACAATACAAATATTGCATTCTTCTGATGTAATCTCATCGATATCTACGATCAAACGCATTTTTAAAATGCCACGAACAAAGTAAACCATTTGAGGACGTTTATAAATAACCCACTTATTGCTTTTTATGGATTTAGACAATGAAACGAAGAATACAAATCAAATCAATTGACATTTGAACAAAGCCAGCTAAAATGCATTGTCTTCTTACAAAATCACTTTTTTTTTTTTTTTTTTTTTTATGGCAATGCTATGCCTCTTGCCAGTGTCGAGTTAAAAACGGGGAAACGGGAATTAAAAGGAAAAATGCCTACTTTCGGAATTTGGAAAGGAATTAATGATCAGGAAAATGAGGAATATACAGGAGATATTTATATAATATACATACGTTTATACAAAAATCAAAGCTTTATATTATTTACAGTTATAAACTTGGCTATACAATTATATACAACAGGATCTTTATGGAAAAGGAGAGACATTATAGAAGACGGGAAAGGAATGTGTAAGGAAGAGAGTTCCCGAAGGAAAGCAGAGCGGTCAAAACTAGGACAGGAGAAGAAAATATGGTTGATAGTGCCTGAATCGGTGCCACACTCACAAGAATCATCATTAATGATATGGAGTCTTGCGAGGTGAGAGGGTGTACACGTGTGACCCAACCTCATGCGTATGATAGATGAAGAAACTCTCTTATCAAATTTCAACTTGAAAAACCAAGGCTTTGTAGGTATTTGTGGTTGAAGAAGTGAAAAAAGAAAGCCTTTTGATTTGCAACTAATTTCCCAATCCGATTGCCAGGAAGAGTTTAAAGAAAGTTTGGGCAATGCTAGGAGATCATGACAATAACTCTGATAGGGAAACAAATCTCCACAGGAGACCGCCTCATTGGCAAGACGATCTGCAATTTCGTTACCTCTTATCCCACAGTGACTAGGAATCCAGGCGAAACAAACATTCAGGCCAAGTGAAATACATTCATAAAATAACNTATAGGGACTAAGAGAGATTCAATACTGCAATGAAACAATGGTAAGTGTTTTGAACGGAATATGGGAGAGGACAGAGACATTAATTTATTGTAGCTGTGCAAAAGACAAGGAATAGTTTTATGTTTCCAATAGTCTGAAATGGGAACTTTTTCTGATAAGCAGTGAAGTTTTGGGAAAAGTTGATGATTTGAGAAATTGAATGTACGAAAGAGGAATTTATCACACAGAAACTGCCGTCTAAATTTGAGAGGAGGATCACAACATTCAACTTGAAGCGCATTTACTGGACTACTTTTCATGGCTCCTGTTACAATTCTGAGAGCTTTTGACTGTATCAGATCTAATTTTTTAAAAGCAGATTTATTGCCTGGCTCGAGAAGAAACATGCCGTAGTCCAGAACACTTCTGATGAGAGCATTGTATATAAGCTTCATTGAAAAAGGGTGAGCTCCCCACCAAACTCCAGATAAACATCTGAGAATATTTATTCTTTTTTCACACTTTTCTGCAATATACTCGCAGTGTTGATTTCCAGTCAGTTTTGAGTCTAGAATTACTCCCAGAAATTTGTGATGAGGTTTTACAGGAATCAAATCATTATCATAAGAAATTTGGACAGGAGGTGGATTTCTCAATCTTGAAAAAATTACTGTGGCACTTTTATTAGCAGATAAGTTTAATCCATTATTATCAAGCCAGGATTTTAAATTAGATAGTGAAGAAGTAAGTGCTGACGCAGCAACTTCTATTTTCTTATCAATATTATAAAACAGCAANAAACCATTATAATGTGTGTCTAAAATTTCATTAAATTTGGATACAATGTTTAGATCTTGCTTATCAATTGGGAGAAAACAAATATTTATAGGGACTAAGAGAGATTCAATACTGCAATGAAACAATGGTAAGTGTTTTGAACGGAATATGGGAGAGGACAGAGACAGAATAGTTTTATGTTTCCAATAGTCTGAAATGGGAACTTTTTCTGATAAGCAGTGAAGTTTTGGGAAAAGTTGATGATTTGAGAAATTGAATGTACGAAAGAGGAATTTATCACACAGAAACTGCCGTCTAAATTTGAGAGGAGGATCACAACATGTGCTTTAGAGAGTCGAGAGTATAGCAGATAATTAGTCCATCGTGAGCAGAAATTTGTCCACTAATAGCAAAATTCGTTCAAATTATAGTTTTAAAGTTATTAGGAAAAAACAGATTTTGCTGGGGTAATGTTTGAAACATTACCCTGGCAAAAATTTTTTTTGAAAGTCGTTCTATCCCGGNGACAGGAGGTGGATTTCTCAATCTTGAAAAAATTACTGTGGCACTTTTATTAGCAGATAAGTTTAATCCATTATTATCAAGCCAGGATTTTAAATTAGATAGTGAAGAAGTAAGTGCTGACGCAGCAACTTCTATTTTCTTATCAATATTATAAAACAGCAAGTCATCAGCATATTGTAAAACTTTTGTATTATTACACAAAATTGTCAAAGTTCGAATAAATAATTAGCATTTCAAAGAGCACCCATCGTCATTTTGTAATCTTTTTTTTTTTGTTTTTTTTATGCTAGCCAAGGCAGGTATTTGACCGCAATCGCACCTGGTGTTAAGTGAGATGCAGTCTAGGATGGTACATAATAATAATTTTAGTCATAAGATTTATAAAATATGATAGCTTTAGCTGTAAATTAATGACAAATTGTTTCAGGAAGGCTTTAGCAAGGAAATGTTTTTCTTCATCAGCTTTCTGTCTCTACTCTATGGCATTATTGTTTCCGTAATTAAAACGCTAGATGCGTAAGCATACCTACTTAACTTTCATACTTTAGGTGAAAATAAAACTTATTTATTGACAACTAGCTGCGACACTATAAATATTCGTTATATACCTAATTGGATAACGAATGTCAGTAAGTTATATTACATATCGATTGAATATCGCAATATAAATATTTTTCATTGAAGACCGATTTTCCCTGAATGCCGCTTTAAAATTGTTAGATTTATGTTTAAATGGACATTAATATTTATTAACTTTCTACCAATAGGCGTTCGTTGCGTACTTTTATAATATTCTGTGAATAATGAAGTAGCTTATGAAGTAAACAAAATATTACGTCACCCTTCTTGAGAGCTCTCTTTGCCCTTGATAATTTGCATGGTCATTTTGTATGTTGTAACGTTATACAGCCAACCTTTCACGAATAGAAACCTATTCATATCAAATAATTTATAATTAAATACATTATATAATTTACGCAATGCTATAATAAAATTGATGATGAGCAGTCTATCAAAAAATGAATACGAAAATTACCTTTATTTTAAAGTTTGTAATGAATGTACTTAAACATAAGACTTACAAATATACCTACTGAGTAAAAAGCAAACTGAAACTGAAGCACCTGAATTCACTAAAACGTTACAGTCTTGAAAGCTATAGGTACTTATTAAAATTGAATTTTATCCTATAGACTGCAGAGGGTCCACCTTTCAGACTATTAATAATTTTCTTATTCATCTTGTGACCTGCTACATAACACGTCGAAAAATTCATAGATTCAGTAACTAACAAAAATAATGAAGACAATTAACTGTTCTAGAGTATAGTGTATGTAGTTAACAATGTTTCAATTAAATCCATTATATCACGTGCAAAAACTCGTATCAAATCGCTATACGGGTTATGTCATATTTTAACCGGCAGCGATCGAGATGCCCAGTGGTCAGTGCTAGCACGCACGCGCATCGCAATCATCATTAAACAGTACTTATTATTATTCTGTGATTAAACGTTGAAGGAAACAATCAAGATCAGCTGGGAGTCGTTAACAGCTTTTGTGTTAAGTGGAAAGTGCTAAGTACAACACTTACACCCGCAGTGGCGGGGCAAGACCTAAATTTGATGTGGGCAAGACAGATTTCGCGAGGCCTTGTTCTGTGGCGACCTAAAGACGGATTTTATAAAAAAAAAAACGGGTCAACGGTCTATTCATTGACAGTTTCTGATTTCTTGATTCAGTGATTATTTTTAAAGGAATATTGCGCCAAAGAATAATGTTCGTCATTTAAAACCGTGTTGTTGCTTAATTTGGTGTCTGATTATGGCTGAATTTGTTTGGAAAAAAATATATTTTTTTAACTACATTGTTTAGCTATCAAGAATTTATATTTTAATAGTCAATGTTTGCATTTATTGTCGTATTGTGATATTGTCATCTCCTCCTTGTATACATTTTTTCAAAATTTTTGATGCGCGAGGCCCCTTGTACCGCGAGGCCGTAGGCGGTGGCCCACGTCGCCTACGCCTTACGCCGCCACTGTACACCCGTATTTACAAACAGTACTTTATGGTCTCACAGTGCGCGTGGTCGTACAGGGTGACATACGAACCAATCATAGAGCTTTATTCAACGCTGTGGGTTCGATTTTCTGCTTCACTTAAGCAAGCATTGTTTGTGAATACGGGCGTTATTAGAGTAGCTTCCGCCCGTGTAGTTTTTTTTTCATAAAAGGCTTACCTTGTCCCACGATCACAAACGATGCAAAAGAAAATGTCCACTATAGGTATTACATTCTCATCTAAAAAATCTACTTCTGTGACAAAATACATTAAAATTGGAGTACCACCTACGTTTCAGGTTGACTAGGTGCATGCAAATAAGTAGAGTTTACTTTTGCACTTACTTTACTTATAAAACTTTAATTACTTCATTAAACTTTTGGTTGATTTCGTGAAAAATTGTGTTTTAGTTATTTACACGGCATTAGCTAGTAGGTATGTAATAGGATTACGCCCAGTAATAAGAATATAGGAGCTATAAATGTGCAGTAAATGTAATACAGAGTCGTTACAAAATACAAAATGACATGTGTATCCTGTTCCATAAGTTATATCGGGCTTAGTTGATTAAATCAAAGCATTTATTGAATACCGATTCAAAATTGTTTCACGAGAAAATTTAGAAGCGGATATCGTGTCAGTTACAACACGCGAAAGTTGTATTATAGTTAATTCACCTTTGTGTAATAAATAATTTATGGCCATCGGAACACGGTTTCCGAAAATCATTGTCACCATAAAGAATATCCGTTCGTTTCTTGCGTAAATAACTGCATAATAAAAGAGGCTTCCGGCGACTGGGACCGCAATTAACTAGGACCGCGGTCCCAGTCGCCGGATCCATAAAAAAATAATAATTTTCTTCCGGCGACTGGGACCACTCATAGATAACTTAAACGAAAATATTATTCAATCCAAAATCGGTACAGTACTAAAATCCATGAGTGGTCCCAGTCGAAAATTGTTTAATTTTTACGCATCCGGCGACTGGGACCGCGGTCCCAGTTAATTGCGGTCCCAGTTGACGGAATCCTCAAATAAAAGAATACGAACTTCCCTAAGGCACCTTTTGGAATATTCTGTAAAAGGTGAGTCACTCGAGATTGGGTTTAAGAGCCATTTCACAAAAAAGTTCCGCGCGAATTTAGGTAAAAGCTGTCAACGCAACGTCAAAAGAGTAAAAAGAACGCTGAAATGGACAAAAAAATCTTGAGCCGTGACCGTATTAAGACTTGATTTAAGTTATTAATTTTAAGGTAGAATGAGGTATTCAAACTTGATTAATTAATTTAAATTTTTAATAGAGTTTATTAAGTCTTTTATATTTCGATTCATAATGAAACACGAATAGGTATAATATGTAAAATATATATTAAGTACAAAATAAAGACAGTCACATAGTGAAAAATAAATCTGCCCCCTTACAGCTCCATCATCGGACCCTGGATACGAATAATGAAACACGAATAGGTATAATATGTAAAATATATAATTATTTTTCTATTACTGGACTCCCTGGCCAATAATCCATGGGTTACAAACCTTTTTTATGAAAATCCTTTTGTTAATGAAATCTTAGGTTCATAAAATAACCAATTTAACAAGATGCCAATTTTATAATCCAAGTTGATTATGACGACAATAATGATGATTGATAATCAATACATATTTTCGTTAATGATAATATGTTGTTTTACTGTCTTAAAAACACGTTTTTTTCTATTTAAACTCTAAAATGTACATATTAATTAGTGTACATTGAATTGACACAACAAACAATAGTTCATTCTTGTAAGTTGTACTTGATGAAATTTCATTTCATATTATTTATTAATAATTTAAAGCAAAAAAGGCTTATTACATCTGAATTGTCAAAAAATGACAGCTGTCAGAATTCCGTCGAATTAAAAATCGGACTTTAGATAATACCTATTTTAGTAAATCATATTTTGAGTTTACTTATAATAGCTTAATTTAGTTTGCGGGCGACCGCACGCATTTTGTATCAAAAATTAATACAATAAGCTGCGCACGCAGGTGCTCGTGCATTACCTTGAATTAATAGGCGTGATCCTGTTTTATCGAAATCGTCCCGTTAAGTGTATTTTTTCTCAAAATGTACTAATTCTAGTAAAAAAGTAATTAACTTAATCTTCAGAAAACTATTTCTAAGACAATGGTCTTTAAAAAGTCCTAAGTAAATCTACGAATACTTTTTTTACTTTGCAACACTTAAATAATACTTTATCTATACTATTTAGTATTAAGTGAGCATACAAAAAATCTTAATTTAGTAAAATAAGATTTTTTTTACTTAAGCTTAGAATAACTTAAGACCAAATTATCTAAAGAATACTTAACTTGGTTTTGAGTATTCTTAATTTGCTTAAGTAGCGCTCGATGAAGAATATAAAGTCTTAAAGAAAAACATCTCTACTCTAAGTTAATTTGGTTTTAGCTTAAGTGTAAATTTAGATAGAGTTAAGACAAGTAAGATTTTGCCATTAATACCAATTGCTACTTGGGTACGATTAGGTACTTTTAACGGAAAGGCTCTGTTCGCAGATTCAACTAATATATTGGTAAAGGACAAGGCACAAGTGGATTCATTTCCANGTCGTAATCTTCGGCACTTCTAGTGTTAAGGCATAACTCTTCTAGCATGTTCTTCTAGTGGATTACAGAATTTTTCGCGAACTTTTAGCAATTGTTCGGGAGAATTAAATGATACAAAGATCTTTTGAAATTTATGAATAGAGCTTATTTAAACGAACTCTATGAACTACAGTTTTTAAATGCAGATGATTACTTTCTCCAGTGATATGGCGCTGACCCTGGCGACCTTTATTACGCCGACTTTGCGGCCAGTCAGTGATTAACGGAAATGCCGGGTTTATTTTTTAACTAGCAGTTGTTCCGGGTGCTCAATGAGTCGATAACATGATTGGGGACTTAGATCCTAGCTACACAGGAGGATTTACACAGGGAATGTGAGAAGAGGATTATTATTTCAGTTTTCAGCTTCCAGATCAATTTTAAAAACAAAGAAAGAAAAAGAGGTAGTGCGTTTAAATA